CCTGAGTTGTTGGGACCTGTAGCCTATAGTGCTTATGGCAGGATGTAACATCCATAGTTTTGGTTCTTGATGATTCTGGAGACTCTACTGCCAACAGTAATTTTAAATTTTTCAAAGTGTTTGAGAATTGTTTGGCAATTGCCACTTCTGATTTCTCACAGACTAAGCACTTTAAAATTTGTTGTTGTTGGTCATGGTGCTTGAACTGAGGATGTTGGCGTTATTCCTGAGCACTTTTGCTCAAGGCTAGCACTCTACCACTTTGAGCCACAGTGCTGGTTTTCTGGTGGTTAATTGGCAATAAGAGTCTCATAGACTGTACTGCTTAGGCTGAGATTTGAGAATCTGAGTAGCTAGGATTAAAGGCATGAGCCACCAGAGCCGGTAGACTGAGTGCTTTAATTCCAGTTTTCTACTGCTGGTTTTGAGGATCATTTAGAAATTATGGGACTGGAATATGGGGACTTTATCGAGGGGGTAGATTGAGACAGGGTCTCAGTATGTAGATCATGCTGGCTTGGAATCTGCTTTTCAAGATTGGGATTACAGGCATCTCAACACTTGACTTTACTCACCACATTTTGTAAGCCCTTATCTGTTAGAAATGCTTACTGAAATATTATGGATGAAAGGATATGACATCTGACTTTTCCTTAAAATTTTGCAACCCTTACCTAAAGGAAAGCATGTGTACAGGAGAGAGGAAAATATGCTGATAATCATGGAACTTAAGTTCTATATATGGAGTTCATTTTTGTAGTCTTTCTGTGCTTTCTGCTTTTATTTTGTTGAAAATTTCCATAGTAAAACAAATCCGAGCCATGCATGAAAGTACCTGCCTATAAACCTAGCACTCAGAAGGCTAAGGCAGGAGAATTATTAGTTAAGGCCAGACCTATGGTGAGACAGTGTCAGAAAATAAAACCCCACACACAATCTAAAAACAAGCCAGCCATCACACACAAATACAGGGCTTCTGGACTTCCCCTGACACCCAGATGTACAACATGATCATTTGAGATATTCTGTCTGGACAGAAGGAATCAGTATTTATGAACATTTTAGAAAATAGTACATTTGCTCTGTATTTTCAAATGTACATTAGTATGTTAGCACTTCTCTGTGACAACCTAATGTATGACCCAGATGAGGCTCCATCATGTATTGTCCTCAGGCTTTGAAAGCCCAAGGCTAGAAAGGACTTGTGACATTTCCCCCATGTTTCCCAAAGGATGTTCACAGATTACTAATGCCCTAAAGTAGACAATGAAAGTGGAAGTAGTCCAGTAAACCAGGAGGTGTTGTGCTCAGTTATTGCCTTATCAGAAAACATCTTGGAACCTTTGGTATAATCTTCTCTATTGTGATGGGAACGATTTCTGATTTATGCAGTATGCCTCTTTCATATCAAGAGGGAGGGTCTATGAATGTCCAGGAGGCTGAGATCTGAGGATCACAGTTCAATGCCAGCCTAGACAAGAAAGTCCATGAGACTCTTATTTCCAATTAAGCACCAAGAAAAGTTGGAAGTAGAGTTGTGGCTCAAGGGTTAAAAAGTTCAGGGACAGCAACCAGGCTTTTAGTTCAGGCCCTAAGACTCCAAAATAATAATACTAATAAAAGTGGCTTTAAATGTCAGTGTCTCACTCCTGTAATCCTGGCTACTCAATAGACTGAGATGTGAGGATCATGGTTTGAAGCCAGCCTGGGTAGGAAATTCCATGAGAACTCCAGTTCACCACAAAAAAAAAACAGAAGTAGAGCTGTGGTTCAAGTGGTTCAGGGCAAAGCCCTGAGTTCAAGCCCCAGTACTGGATCATATAAACATAAACACAGACACAAATATACCCATATACCCTCTGTAATTAGTATTTTTAAGCAGGGACTTTTTTTTTTGTCAGTCGTGGGGCTGGAATGCTGGGCTTGGGCATTGTCCCTCAGCTCTTCAGCTCAAGGCCAGCACTCTACCACTTGAGCTACAGCGCCACTTCCGGTTTTCTGGTGGTTTATTGGAGATGGGAGTCTCACAGTCTTTCCAAGCCCAGGCTGGCTTTGAACCACGATCATCAGATCTCAGCCTCCTGAGTAGCTAGGATTACAGGCGTGAGCCACCAGCACCCGGCAAGCAGGGACTTTGGAACTATTAATACTACATTCTTCAGCTAACATTCTATGCATTCTTATATTTCTATCCATTAAGACTTTTTTTGGGGGGTCGGTCATGATGCTAGAATTCGGGGCATGGGTGCTGTCTCTGAGCCCTTTTATTCAAAGCTAGCACTCTACCACTTTGAACCACAGCTCGACTTCCACTTTTCTGGAGGTTAATTGGAGGTACCAGTTTCACAGACTTTCCTTCCTAAGTTGGCTTTGAACCACAATCCTCAGATCTCAGCCTCCTGAGTAGCTAGGATTACAAGCATGAGCCACCAGTGCCTGGCAACTCATGCATTTTTTTTATCCTGGGGCTTGAACTCAGGGCTTAGGCACTGTCCCTGAGCTTCTTTTGCTCAAGGCTAGCACTCTACCACTGGAGCCACAGTGCCACTTCTGGCTTTTTTCTGTTTATTTGGTACTGAGGAATCGATCCCAGGGCTTCATGCATGCTAGGCAAGCACTCTACCACTGAGCCACCTTCCCAGCCTGACTCATGCTTTCTATGCAGTGGATAACCTGTTATTATTTATTGATGCTCAAATTATCCTTTCGGCGAGCAGCAACCAGCTGAAACTGACTTCTGTCAATTCAACTCATCCCCATCACTGTTAAATGCTTATTTTCTCTCCAGGCTCATCTTGTTCTTTCTCTTCTGTAATCCTAGGATCAGCCATTTTCCATGGAGTGAGTGCTTGCCCCTTTTAGTGGAAAATAGTATTTAGAAAGCACCTAGTGTTCTCCTTGGCCATTGCAGTTGTCACTCTTCCTCACCCTGTCAGAGGACATAGCTAGCGAGTGTGTATGTGCTCATTTATGTATCCGTGCAATGAGCACTCTGCCACTCTGTGCTAGTGATGATACCTAACAAGGAAGATCACTGCCATTTTTCCTCCTGCCATCTTTCTAACTCCCTTTTCTACCTTTAATCTTTTTGCCTTTTTAATCTCTCTGCAGGTAACCAAGCTCTTTTGCCTCCATTCTCTCCTCTACTTGGACTCCCTTCTCTCCCTGCTTGGCTCTCACACTCCATTCCAAAGCACTTTACTCCACTTGGAGCAACAGTACTGCATGCCAGACAAGTCTAATATGCAGCCAAGTTTGAGAACCACTGAGAGTTCTCTGGTTGAACTTTAATTCAGCAGGGGTGGGAGGGTTAGGTATTTATGCTTTTCTGTGTTTTTGTGTGTGTGTGTGTGTGTTTTTGTTTTTTCGGGTTTTTTTTTTTGGCCAGTCCTGGGACTTGAACTCAGGGCCTGGGCCATGTCCCTGAGCCTCTTTTTGCTCAAGGTTAGCACTCTACCACTTGAGCCACAGCACCATTTCTGGCTTTTTTTGTTTATGTGGTACTGAGGAATCAAACCCAGGGCTTCCTGCATGATAGGCAGCACTCTACCACTAAGCCACATTCCCAGCCTCTCTGTTTTGGTTTTGTTTTGTTTTTATGATTGTCCTGTGGTTTGAACTCAGAGCCTGGGCATGTCCCCTGAGCTTTTGTGCTCAAGGCTAGCACTCTAGACTTGAGTCACACTTCTGGCTTTTTTTTTTTTTGGTACCTGTCCTGGGCTTGAACTCAGGGCCCGAACGCTGTCTTGGAGCTTTTGTGCTCAAGGCTAGTACTCTACCAATTTTAGCCACAGCTCCACTTCCAGCTTTTTTGTGGTTAATTGGAAATAAGAATCTCAAAAACTTTCATGCCCAGGCTGGCTTTGAAGTACAATCCTCAGATTTCAGCCTCCTGAGTAGCTAGGATCACAGGCATAAGCCACAAGCATCAGGCCAAGTGTCCTTCCAAATTTTTGGTGGTTATCTGGAGGTAAGAGTCTTATGGACTTTCCTGCACAGGCTGGCTTCTGTGATCCTCAGCTCTCAAGATTTGAGTCTCCTGTGTAGCTAGGGTTACAGGTGTGAGCCACCAGTGCCTGGCCAGGGTTATGTTTGTTTTTGTTTTTTAATCAATCAGAGGACTTACCTCACATGTGTGATGTTCTAAGTACCATTCCCAGCATCACACACACACAAAACCTCCTATAAACCATTTCACAACTCATTGCTCTTACTAGTTGCTAGTTTTTAGTATGCCACCAACCATTTTGTTTCATAAAGAACAACACCCATAGTGCTTTCTTAGTGCTGAAAAGCACGTAATAGCCCAGGAATCAGGAGATACCTTTGGAGTCCTGGCTCTGCCTCTAGCTCTAGGTTAGTCACACTGCCTTACTACCACCATGCCTTTTCTTTCTGCCAATGGCTCTGTTGATGTCATTTGTACCTAGAAATGCTGAGGTCTCAGTGCCTTTCGGTAACTTGCTTTTAGTTGCTGTCCCTGTTGTGTTTATCCTGTTGTTCAACTTTCCCTTGTAAAGCAAATGCAAATGTCCTTTGAACCTCACCGGGATTGCATAGTGCTCCTGAATGTCTTGCATTCCAGGGGCCAGGAGTATAGCTCTTGTGGTAAAGTGCCTGTGTTTTGCAAGTGTGAAGCTCTGAATTCCATCCGTAGTACTAAAGAAACAAAGAGCTCATGCCTGTAATCCTAGCTATTCAGGAGGCTGAGATCTGAGGGCAGGAAAGTCCAAGAGACTTATCTCCAATTAACCACAAAAAGCCAGAAGTGAAGCTGGGGCTCAAGTGGTGGAGTACTAGCCTTGAGCAAGTAGAGCTCAGAGACAGTGCCCAGGCCCTGAGTTGAAGGACTGGCAGAAGGGAGGGAGGGAGGAAGAAAGGTAGGAGGAAAGAGAGGAGAGGAGAGGGAGGGGGAGAAGGAGAGGGAGAGGGAGATGGAGACGATTGATTCGTCTCTGCTGTACAGCATTCTCACATGTGCTCCTGTGTGTCTTTCAAAGGGTGAAGGAAGACGTGTTTTGGAGAAACTACTTTTACCGTGTCTCCCTGATTAAGCAGTCAGCACAGTTGACCGCCCTGGCTGCCCAGCAGCAGGCCTCTGGAAAGGAAGAGAAAGGCAATGGCAATGAGGATGGTTTGCCCCTGACAGGTAAACTCCAGAGGAAGCGATCACTGTGGCCAAAAAAATAATTACTGTAAAAAATATTCTTAGGTGACTTAGTGTCTTGTATGTGTAACAAATATGTGAACATTGCCATGTAGAAAACTTCTTTTCAAAGGAAATGGTCATTCTTCTCTGTTGCTGTCTCTCTGACACAGCTTATGTGTTTTCTTTTTTTGTCTCTCTCTCTTTTCTCGTTCCTTTTATTTCTCTCTTCAATGTCTTCGACTCTTTTTGCCATTACCGTGTGACTTTTTCTAGCTTCTGTCTGCCACTCTGATTTAGTCTCCTCCTCCTCTGTGTGTCTTAGACTTTCTTACATCCTGGCTTCTTCAGAATGTATGATCTGTAGAACAGAGCTCCAGTCCACTCTGAGTCATCAGCTCTGAGCTTGGCACTGTCAATTTAGACATCTGATACTTTATTCTTGTGACACACGAATCCTGGTTGTAAGGCAAAGTGTTTGATAATATCATCAACCGTTTGCCATCTATAATGAGATGCAATAGTATCAACAACCATTTGCCAACAAATGAGAAATGGTGTTTGTATAATTTAATATTTTCATGAGTACCTACTGCACATAGGTAATTCACCACCAGACTCTAATCCCATAAGAAGTAGGGTAATTTTGTTTGTGGAATTAAACAAGACAGGATGTCCAAAAGTACAGGTTGTATAACTAGGAAAGCCTCTGAAATTGCATTTAGAGGCAGGTAAATGAATGAAATTCATTCAGTAAGGGGCTGGGAAGGTGGCTCAGAGGTAGAGCGCTTGCCTTGCATGCCTGAGGCCCTGGGCTCAATTCCTCAGCACCACATAAGCAAAAAAAAAGAAAAGAGCCAGAAGTGGTACTGTGGCTCAAGTGGTAAAGCGCTGGCCTTGAGCTGAAGAGCTGAGGGACAGCGCCCAGGCCCAGAGTTCAGGCCCCACAACTGGACCCCCCCCCAAAAAAAAGAAATTCATTCAGTAAAATTGGTCATTTTGCATAGATGTTAACATCCATCCAATGATCTATCATTCCTTCTCATTCCTTAGTATTACTTTTATTCCTGAATGCCATTTTACCAAATACTGCTTATTTAGCAAATGGACATGAGACAGCATTCAAGCATTTACTGTCTGTAAAGTCAACTAGAGAAAACACAGCTGAGAGAAAGAATACCAGGCTTGAGTGATACATGTTCATTTCTGCTTTGTAGTAGCGGAGAACTTGGTAAATAATGTTATTCCCTTTATCCTAAAAGAAAGAGCACAATAAATTTTGCCAACATTGAAGTCCAAATCACTTCCTGCTGGAAATTTTATAGAGAAGGTACATTGAATATGGTAACATATTAAAAATATCCCTCAAAGTAGAAGGTCAAGATGGTTGCACCTGACTGTTTTCTTCATAAAATACATAAGTTGGGGCTAGAAATGTGGCTTAGTGGTAGAGTGCTTGCCTAGCATGCATGAAGCCCTAGGTTCAGTTCCTCAGTACCACATAAACAGAAAAAGCCAGAAGTGGTGTTGTCAAGGGGTCAAGGGGTAGAGTACTAGCCTTGAGCAAAAGAAGCCCAGGGACAGTGCCCAAGCCCTGAGTTCAAGTCCCAGGACTGGCAAAAAAAAAAAGGAAAGAAAAAAAAAGCCAATCTTAAAGCTTACTTCTGAGAATGATTTAGGATCATTATACTTATAGATATTTTAGCTGTTATTGTAATATATACTCAGAACTGAATCAAGCAATTATTCTCTTTTATTCTCACTTCTTAGAGGCAGTACGGCCCAAAACGCCACCTGTCGTAATCAAATCTCAGCTTAAATCTCAAGAGGTAATACAGTTTTACATTGTACCTAGTAGTTAATGTCTGGAAATGTAGTAACTGGGTTAACTATCTCTGATGCCATTTAAAACTGAAGAGGATGGGTTGATCTGTTTGGAAGATGATGACTCCAGTACTAGAAGAGTCAACGACCTATAGCTGACACACAAGGCGATTTACTGCCATACATAATTCTCAGTGTGCTCATTAGGGATTTTAGCAAATGGTCAGAGTGATCTCAGCTAGGAAGGAGAGTAATAGCCTCAGGTGGTAACTCATTAAGTTACCAAGCAACTACAAGTTAGTATTACAGCCAGCAAAACTTAGGTTGTAGTAAATTCTGAGACAACCATAAGCAGGCATGTCACATAGAGAACACCAACAAGAGCTCTCTTGTCCCATTTCAGGATGAGGAGGAAATTTCTACTAGCCCTGGGGTTTCAGAATTTGTCAGTGATGCCTTTGGTGCTTGCAACTTAAATCAGGAAGATTTAAGAAAAGAAATGGAGCAGCTTGTACTTGACAAAAAGGAAGAGGAGACAGCTGTATTGGACGGTAAACAATTTTTTTAAGGAAACTTTAACCTTTTCCCAAATTTCAAAGTTGATTGTGTAAAAGTGTTAACGGCAATTGGTCAAAAATATGTTGCAAACTTTGAGCCAGGGATGTTGGTGACTCATACTGTAATTCTAGCTACGTGAGAGGCTGAGAACTGGAGGATCAGGGTTTGAGGCTAACCTGAACAAGAAAAATCTGTGAGACTCCATCTCCATGGACAGGAAACTGGACACAGTGGCACACACTTGTGATCCCAGCAAGGATGAAGAGCCTAAAGGTGGACAGATTACAGCTTAAGCAAATGCCTGGGAGAATCCTAAAAGTAACTAGTGAAAAATAGGGCTGGGGGCATATCTCAGCTGTATTGTACCAGCCTAGCAAGCACAAGGCCTTGAGTTCAAACCCCCAGTACCACTAGAAAATATGCACACAAAGAGCATCATTTCCAGAAAGGAACAGCCTGCCTTTTAAAAACTAATTGTAGCTAGGCACTGTTGGCTCACACCTGAAATTCTAGCTGCTCAGGAGGCTGAGATGTGAGGATGGCAGTTCAAAGCCATCCTAGGCGGAAATCTGCAATATTTCTTGAGGGGACTTCTTGTATTCCTTCGGCCCATTGGGCCAAGTTACTGGCTTCCTACTGCATGAAACACAAAAGGATCGAGTCCATCACTATCAAATGAAGAGTTTTCTGATGCCATCTCAGACTTAAAATGCATCCAGAAAGCCAACTGTCCTCACAGTTGTGTAGAGTGCCAGCTAGAACAAGAGCCTGGAAAGGGGAACCTGAACACTGTCTGCATGCTGCCGCAGCCAGGAAGAAGTCTGAAGGACAGATTTGAGAAGAAAAGGGAGGAGGAGTGAGGGACTGGCCGGGTCAGTGAAAACCTGTATTGTGTAGGCCCGCAGAGCCTGTCTGGAGATAGAGTCTTACTGTGTAACCCAGACTGGCCTTGAGCTTTTGATCCTCTTGTCTCAGTCTCCCCAGTGCCAACCCCGACTGGTTTCTGATAAGACATAGCCTCTGATCATCACAAAAGCAAGGAGCTCTTAAGCCCATACATTTCTGGCAGCTGTCTCTCTTTTTTCTGGTGATTGTACCCCTAGCAGAAGCCACAGGGGCCAGCAGGATTCCTAAGGCTTTACTGCTCCAGGGGAACTGAATTTTCTCTGAATTCCAACCTGAGTGATGATTTGGACTACATCATATTCTGCATATTGGCTCAACCAGCTAAGTTGTAGGCTACTTAAGGACAGTTCCATCTTGCCTCTGTCCCTTCACATGCAGCTTAGAACTCAGCAAGCACTTAATGAAGTACTTGTGAGATTGGTGCTTTCCCATACAGTATGCAAGGGCTTTTCCTTGGTCACTGCTTCAGGAAAACTAAAACGCTTTTATTTTATTCTCATTTCAACTATAGCTACTAAAAGGGTATGTGTGTGTATGTCTGTGCTTTGTATGTGTGTATGTGTACATGAGAGAGAGAAAGAGAAAAGAGAGTGAGCCCAGTTCTATAGGTCCTAAATAAGTGTTAACTGCTTTTGCTACCATTATCCTCATTCATAGTGGTAAAAATTAATTTGCAACCAAATATTATGAATTACTCATTTAAATAAAAGGAAAAACAACAGCTTAGGTAAACAAAATGTACAATTATCTGATAGCTTTGGTTCTACATTAACAAGTTTATCTTTCTAATTACATTGTTCCTTGGTCTCTGTTAAAAGTTCATTCCAAGGGCTGGGAAGGTGGCTCAGTGGTAAAGCGCTTGCCTTGCATGCCTGAGGCCCTGGGTTCGATTCCTCAGCACCACATAAGCAAAAAGAAAAAAGCAGGAAGTGGCGCTGTGGCTCAAGTGGTAGAGTGCTAGCCTTGAGCTGAAGGGCTGAGGGACAACAGCGCCCAGGCCCAGAGTTCAGGCCCCACAACCGGACCAAAAAGAAAAAGTTCATTCCAAACCAGGCCCCTGTGGCTCATACTTTTAGTCTTAGCTACTCAGGAGGCTGAGATCTGAAGATCCAGGTTAAAGCCAACTCAGGCAGGGAAGTCCATGAGACTCTTATCTCCAATTAACCAGAGAAGTCTAGAAATGAAACTGGCTCAAGTGGTAGAGTGCCAGCCTTGAGAAAAAAAAAGCTAAGAGATGGTGCCCAGGCCCTGAGTTCAAGTCCCAGGACTGGCAAAAAAAAGTGTTTTCCTAAGCACTTACACTGAAGATGCCTGAGACATTGAACTAGGGTTGTGGCTTGTGGGAAGCCCTGGGTTCCACCTCCAGCACAGAAAAAAAAACAAAAGAAGGAACTACTATGATGAGGACTTTTGTTGGTAAAGTTGACTGAATTGCTATCACCAGCTTTAAGAATTCAGAGAGAATCTTTGTTTTCCTTCCCCTTTGTTTCTTGTAGAGGATTCTGCTGATTGGGAAAAGGAGCTACAACAAGAGCTTCAGGAGTATGAAGTGGTGGCAGAGTCTGAGAAGCGGGATGAAAGCTGGGATAAAGAAATTGAGAAGATGCTCGAAGAGGAAAATTAGATATCTCTGGAAATAAAAGAGTCTTAAACATTGTGCAAACTTACATTAAATTCTAAATGTTGGCATTCACCGAATCAAAAGACACAAGAGTATAACTGTATATGATTCAAAATTATTCTTTTTTTTCAAGCTAAAATTTACCTCTTCTGCTTTCATTAAAAGTATATACAACAATTATTCTAATAGTCAAGAAAAGGGTTGTAACATTTGTTTCAGATAAATTGAATTATAGTTGTTCTTATAGCTAGTATAGACATCTTTGCACCAGAGCTTCAAGTAAAATTTTAGAATTTTGTTTTGATGAAGTCAAAAATATAATTTATTCTTCAGTCATGCTTTTCTAAATATGTGTAGCATCTTTGCACTTCTGTTATACATGAATGTTTTAAGTACTTACCTAATGGATTAATTACTATCAGAGTGACCAAATTGTACCAAAGAACTGAAGCGGAAGCACTTTCAGAACTCTTTTCTTGCTAGGTGTTTTCTAAAATTCCATCTAAAGGCCAAAAGGTAAAATATTAAGCTAATTCTAATACTACAAACATCACCCAGTTAAGAAACACTGCAGGGCTGGGGCTCTAGCTCAGCATTCCAGTGCTTGCCTAGTATGCACAAGGCCCTGGATTTAATCCAGCACTGACATTTTTTTAAAAATAGAAAAATAAATACTGTGTAAAAATATTTGCTTTTTTAAAAATTGATTTTTCCATAGGCCTTTTTTGTCTTTTTTCTTTTCTTTTAGTGCTGATATGGGGCTAAACTCAGGGCCTTGCTCACTCTTGTACCCTTTCCCTCCATCCTTCCCCTCTCCTCTCCTCCTCCTCCTCCTCCTCCTCCTCCTCCTCCTTCTTCCCCCTCCTCTCTCACTTTCTCTCTATCTCTTTCTCTACCTTCTTACTTGGACAGGTGTGCTACCACTTGAGCCACACTTCCAGCCCAGCATTTTCCTAGTTAATTGGAAATGAAGTCTCTTAGACTCTTATGCTCAGGCTGGTTTCTAACCTTGAATCCTCAAGGTCTCAGTCTCCTTTGTAACTAGAACTACACACAAGAGCCATATGCACCTGGCTCTCATTTAAAAACAAAAAAACAAAAACAGATTTTACAGCAAGGTTTTTGTAGAGTGGAACCTTCTGTTACCCTTTTTTGTATTAATAGTCTTCAGAATTCTGTTTATCTTAGTCTTTTGTTCCCATTGTAATGCTCATTACATATGAACGAATGTTATAACTTTGTCTTAACTACATTGTTATTCTCTTTAGAATTATATTCCTCTTAAGTACAAATTCTGGAACTTAGTGATTAATCCTTGTATTCTTCTATACCAATAGGCTCCTGTTGTTCAGAGAATATAATTTTAAGAGCAAGCACTGTTAGATAACTTCCTCAACTTTTACTTCCTGACCCTTTCATATTTTTCATAGAGCCTTTAATTCATAAAGGGGAATAAAACCAAGACATTGCTTTATAAGAAAAATGTATATATTTATATTCTTGGGCCCTTTGGCAAAGGTACTCAATGAGAATTGGGACTTGATGTAAGCTTTACTCTCCTGTACGTCATTGGAGATATGCAATGTGAATGTATGTGCTAGACTGCCTCTCTCAGCCAGTATTGCAATAACCTCATGTTCTATGAATCCACTGACTGCCATCATCAAAAAATTTCCACTTGGGCTGGGAAGGTGGCTCAGTGGTAGAGTGCTTGCCTTGCATGCCTGAGGCCCTGGGTTCGATTCCTCAGCACCACATAAGCAAAAAAAAAGCCGGAAGTGGTGCTGTGGCTCAAGTGGTAGAGTGCTAGCCTTGTGCTGAAGAGCTGAGGGACAGCGCCCAGGCCCAGAGTTCAGGCCCCACAACCGGACCAAAAAAAAAAAAAATTCCACTTGCATGGGCTGGGAATGTGGCTTAATGATAGAATGCTTGCCTAGCATGCATGATGTCCTGGGTTTGGTTCCTCAGTACCACATAAACAGAAAAAGCCAGAAGTGGTGCTATGGCTCAATTGGTAGAACACTAGCCTTGAGCTTACGAGCTCAGGGACAGCACCCAGGCCTAAAGTTCAAGCCTCACAACTGATGAAAAACAAAGATTTCCACTTGCAGGTGGGCTTCCAAGATGACTGGCAACTTCTGAAGTAGCTCAAATGTAGGAAAAATAATTTTGTCTCTTAAGTTTGCTAGTGGAAAAGAAATGCATTAAATGTTTTTAAGCAACTAAAAATCCTAAATGCAAGCAGAGGAGGACTTGGTAGTGCCTGGCTCATATGAACTGAAAAAAAAAAAAAGCAAAGAGGTCAGAGAAAGAAAAAGCACTAAAATGCCAATAGAAGTATGCCAAGGTTAGTACTATCAGTTTACATGATGCAATTGGCCAGCAATGTCTTTCAAGTTGTTGCCAGTATCTCTTGCTGTATTATAAACCAACTTGATGGTGCATTGCTCATGGAAATGAAAAGATAAAATAAGGTTTTGTACAGATCATAAGAATACAGAAATAGGGCTGGGAATATGGCTCAGTGGTAGAGTGCTTGCCTTGCATGCATGAGGCCCTGGGTTCGATTCCTCAGCACCACGTAAGCAGAAAAAGCCAGAAGTGGTGCTGTGGCTCAAGTGGTAGAGCACTAGCCTTGAGCTGAAGAGCTGAGGGGCAGCGCCCAGGCCCAGAGTTCAGGCCCCATGACTGGCAATAAAAAAAAAAACAGATATAGGCTGGGCACTGGTGGCTCACGTCTGTAATCATAAGATTCCGGTTCAAAGCCAGCCCTCAGCAGTAGACTCTTATCTCCAATTTAAAAAAGAAGGCAAAAGTGTAGCTGTGACTTAAGTAGTAGAGCACTAGCCTTAAGCAAAAAAGCTCAGGGACAGGACCCATGACCTGAGTTCAAGCTCCAGGACCGGCCAAGCAATAGATCTGTACATAGAGATAGGGATTCATCAAGATGCTTAAGTAACCTGCAGATTCAACTTGAATTGTTCCTTTAAAGGGAAAACTAACCCTAGTTGGAAGTAAATTATTTAGTATTTACTATATGAGGAGAGTGGGTTTGCCAACAAGATATATTGAGCATAAAACAAACTCCAGGGTTGGGAATGTGCTCAGTGGTAGAGTGCTTGCCTTGCATGCATGAAGCCCTGGGTTCAATTCCTCAGCACCACATACACAGAAAAAGCCAGAAGTGGCTCAAGTGGCAGACTACTAGTCAGGAGCAAAAGAAGCTCAGGGACAGTACCCCGGCCCTGAGTTTAAGCCTCAGGCATTGGCAAAAAAAGACTCCATGAAATATAATAAAAACATATTTTGTTGCACTATGGGAGTTATATGCCTACTCAGACAGCTGGGTGCCGGTGGCTCAAGCCTGTAATCCTAGCTATTCAAGAGGCTGGGATCTGAGGATTGAGGTTTGAAGCCAGCCCAGGCAAGAAAGTCCATGAGACTTATTGCCAATGAACTACTAGGGAAAAGCCAGAAGTGGCACTGTGGCTCAAGTGGTAGAGCATTAGCCTTGAGAAAAAATACTAAGGGATAGTTTCCAGGCCTTGAGTTCAAGTCCCAGGAGCAGAAAAATACAAAGGCCAGCCACCCTAGGCTGGCTGCCCCAGAGATGCCAATGGGCTTCACACTGGTTCAGGGATGAAGGTAGTGGAAGTTTCTATACCTCCACTAAGTGTCCTGGAACAGTAGTGTGGTTTTTTTTGTTGTTGTCGTTGTTTATCGGTCGTGGGGCTTGAACTCTGGGCCTGGGCGCTGTCCCTCCCTCAGCTCTTCAGCTCAAGGCGAGTGCTCTACCACTTGAGCTACAGCGCCACTTCCAGTTTTCTGGTGGTTTATTGGAGATAAGAGTCCCGTGGACTATCCTGCTTGGGCTGGCTTTGAACAGTGAGCCTCAGATCTCAGCCTCCTGAGTAACTAGGATTACAGGCGTGAGCCACCAGCGCCCAGCGATACAGTAGTGTGTTTTGATTCATTGATATCTCAGATCCCAGTTATGCTGCCGACTCTTCTTGCCATGCTGCCAAATTTAAGAGAATCTAAAGTCCAGGACAATGAAGACATATCTTGTGAAATCAGGTATTTCTACAACCACACATTTCAAACAAGAACAGGCCTGGCCTGCTAGTATGGCTGTGTACTACTGACACCACACATTTCCAAGGAGCATGATTTCTATGAAATATGGTCAAGGCTCTCATAGCCTTTTTCTGTGGGACCTTAGCAGCCTCAGAGCGCCAATGGACCTTGAAGAGATAAAGCTTGTGTCTGACATGGTTGCAATGAGTTCAACTAAAAAGCTAACTATGGCCGGGCGCCGGTGGCTCACACCTGTCATTCTAGCTACTCTGGAGGCTGAGATCTGAGGATCACAGTTCAAAGCCAGCCTGGGCAGGAAAAGTCTGTGAGACTCTTATCTCCAATGAACCACCAGAAAACCAGAAGTGGTGCTGTGGCTCAAGTGGTAGAGCACTAGCCTTAGCTGAAGAGCTGAGGGACAGTGACCAGGCCCAGAGTTCAAGCCCCACAACCAACAAAAAATAAATAATAGCTAACTATATTACTTTATTTACAGTTGGAGCAGTTTATGTAGAAAGTAATGGCTGCCAGTCCTAAAGTCTTAGTCCAGGCCAGGGCTTCTACTTAAGGTTTGGGTGTTATACCTGACTTTCTATTGCTCTAGGCTAGTACTCTACCACTTGAACCAGAGTTCCACTTCTGGCTTTCTGGGGGGTAGTTTATTGGAGATGAGTCTCATGGACTTCCCTATCAGGGGCTAGGTTCAAAATTAGCCTGGCACCAGTGGCTCAGTTATAATCGTAGCTACTCATGAGGCTGAGATCTGAGGATTGAGGTTTGAAGCCAGCCCAAGCAGGAAAGTCTATGAGACTTGTATCTCTAATTAGCGACCTAAAACAGCTGAAGGTAGAGCTGTGGCAGGAAAGTTCATACTGCAGCTCAGCAGCAGACAATTCCTGCCAGTGTTTCGGTTTTACTGCCAGTACTTCTGACCCTCCTTGGGTTTTTGTCTCCGAAATCTAACAAATGAAGTCCAGGACAATGGAAGATGAGTGTAAAT